CAGACGAGCAACACGCCATGTCCTCACACGAGTTGCAAAGAGCACTGATGTTGGCGGTGGAATTTTCGAAAATGTATTATACAAGTTTAACTATACCAATTTTGTCATTTGAAGAATAAATACCGGTATCAGAAACAGTACGTAATATCTGTTTATCAAAAATTTTGGAACTGTACAGTGAAATATCTCTGAATCCATCCGGAATAGGACATATGTACATATACACTCCTTTTTGCTTAGAATGACCGATACCATGACCTCCCAGAATACTGACCTTTCCTCCTGGGTCATCCTGTTCTTTGGAAGTCTGAATACTTGTGCCTCTTCAAAGAGCATAGGTCAAAGACGCTTGAAATCTTTATTTTTTCTGGTAAAACCCGAAATAACGAGCAGGAAGAACGTGGACATTAAAGGAGCAAAAAGGAAATAGATCATGAAGATGAAATTGACTCAGGATTTTGCAAATAAGGGATATTTTTGGCCCCATAACATGACTTCTAAATATCATACGACTGGTTAATGCAATATGTGTGTTGTTGATTTAACGATGCTATCAGTTCCTCGTACTATACAGTGTGAGACGAATTACAAAGGACATGGAAGGAAACGGTTGTGACTAACTAGAGGTACTGCTCCAGCATCTGCTTCGAAAACCTCAGTCACGAAAGGCTATGACCTGGCCAAGATTAAAACTGGGTATGTACAGACTACACAGGAACCAGCTTGTGAGGACAGGAAATGCACTGGAATAAATGCAAAGGGCAGTTTCAGTTCGCTGAAAGAATCAGTCTTTACTAAACTCGTGCCTAGTTGTCAGCAACACAATTGGACAATATTCTGTAATGTTAAATATCAGGAACAATATCTGAATACTTGAAAAAATAGCCAAACAATGACAATTTTATTATTGAAGTTGAATTGTCAACAGTGACAATTCTTTTTTTTAAACTATGTACATGATATTACATTTTGCACTATAAATATACATTATTTTACAAAAGAAAAAGGTCATTTGACATGTTTTTAGTCGTTACAATTTTTTAACTCATCCGAGAAAAAAACAGTAAGTACGAATTACAACAAGTGGCATTAATTGAGGGGTTGCAAGTGGTTTTGCGCATGTCAAAGAACACAAGCCTCAAAGCCTCAGAAAAGGCTGGGGGGCCCATAAAGAACAAACAACTTGCTACCTCTTCAAAACCCGGAAAAGTGACTTAGCTTTCATAACAAACAGGAACATGATAACTTTGTTCAAAAAATACTAAACAAACAGCTGTTTAATCAAATTTCTTTTAAATCCCTTCCACAATCAATCATGGCAAATACCTCAGATCAAATCCATATAAAACACACCAGCCTTTGTTCAAAACGTGCCTTTTCATTAATATATATCTATATATATATTTTCAATTTTCAGTCAGCAGTCATTCACGAAACTGGAATACGGCAAAAACACTGCATCAAAAACTTCTTGTCCATTGTTTAGATTAATTCTGACTTAGTTTCATTTCAAATAGATCACAAAAATTACGTACGTACAACCACGCACACACAAATATTAATTACTATTATTATTATTATTATTACTTAGTTTCACCAATGGAGGCTCTCCAACTTCATTTTAAATTACTGTTTCATTATTACTTGCCTTTTGTTCGTGAGACTATTGCTTATAGTTTAAATTATACCTCCTGATACATGGTACATGTGGCTTTTTGTGACTTTCTTTTTTAATTATGCAAGAGGCAACTAAAAGCATGCCCAATAGTTACAATTATTTTCTGTGTAATATATTTTTTTTTTAAATCTGTCTACAATTAACAAGGATCACCCTACGTGGTGGCACATCTCATTCGAATACTTTTTCCCTTGAATCTGAGATGACCCGTTGTCAATATTCATAACAGGAACCAGAACATTGAAAAGTACATTTCCAGTATGGGAGTTATCAATAAAAATAAATAAATGTACAGGTGGTTATTTATTCATTTGTTTTCTTTCTTCGTTCCAAACACCACCGCCCTCCAAATCAACCCTTTACATTTGTTGTGTACGTTCGAATACTGGCGTTCGGTGTGTACGTACACGCGTTCAGTCTTGAGTAATAGAAGTGGGGTGCTACGAAGGGGTGAGTGGTGTATGGGGAGGGGCATTCATCACCAGTCACTCGGAGTATAGAGATCACATTATCATGCTACACCTCTGTAGCCAGAAGACCCTCTGGCTGGTGGAAATGATCGTCTATCACAAACACACTGCTTGTCGGCCCAGAACTCGTGGCTGCCGACAGAATACTATTACTGTCTTTGTCGAGACATCGCTTGACTAATGTTGGATCACTGAAACACACAAGATCACATTTCATCAGTGAAGACATGACAAAAAAAAACTTCGTGGTTTTAGTCCGCAAGCGAACTATACCGACCAAGCGACCGCCGCCCCACGGCCGTTAATCTCGTTTTCTAGACCGGAGCCGCTACTTCCTTCAAATAGCCCCTCAATTATCCTCACGAGGCTCAGTGGACCCCGTTCCAGACCCATTACTTCTCAGAAAATTTGGTAGTGCCGGGAATCGAATACGGACCTCTGGATCTGTACCCAGGAACTCTGACCACTAGACCACAGAGGCGGTCAGTCAAGACAAATCCACACCGAGTTACTTAATTGGGAGCATCTCACATCTTGTCGAAATGCCACAGTCCCACCACAGCAAAATCACAGATTCATATCTCCCCATAAGTCTATTTTTTACGATTATATACATTTTAGCGAAGATGAGATGGGCAACACATTGCTTTTTACAGGTGCGTTGAAATCTGCAGCATACACAAGACTGCTGTCTCAGCCATTTCCGCTCCTCCGTTTCAACCTCTTCGTCATTAGCGGAACGTTTGTCACGTTTCTTGACTCAATTGTGAACTGCTTTACGCGATAAGCACTTTCCACCGTAAACAAGAATATCCTTTGCATAGAGTCCTTTTGCCCACAAAAAAAAAACCTAAAGAACGACAGCCATTTTGACTACTGAAACCAGCCTCTGAACATGCACATGCGCGTCTGCTACCTAGAGTGTCATTTAACTAGGCTGTGCTGCTACCTAGTGATACAGAAAATAAATTACGTCCATTACAGCTGTTTCACTATCATCTGTGACTTATTTACTGACTCCCTCGTATTTGTCTGCTATGTTCCGGCCAGAACTACACAAAAGCATGTTACTCACCTCGCACTGCAAAGCGACGAATCCACGGACAGGACAGATATCCTCTTGTCCGCTACATTGGATGATGGCGTCCTCTGCTGCTGCGTGTTGCTCGGACACAAATTATCAAAGTCTTTGTCCAGTTTACTGGCGAGTAATGCAGTCGATGTTCTGTTCGACTGGCTGCCACGGTGGACGTCGGTGTTCAACTGTTTATGCGACCTCGTTCGCTGAAGCGTATACACAGGTACACTACCGTCCACGACCTGTTGTTGCTGCTGTTGTTTTGGGTAGCATAAGTCACTCCCGTTACTGAGGTCCGCACTCACACTCACTACACTTCCACCACCCCCTTCATCCCCTGCTGCCAGTACATTATTGATGTATTTCCCCCACGTGTTCTTAATCATGTGAGTGTCACCTCCCACTGTACCACTGCCACCTCGTTTCGTCATGCTGCTATGGACAGCATTCCTCTCGTTTTGCATTCTTGCTTCTTCGTCCGCCAACTCCTGCTCGCGTTTTCTTTTGCGTTTCAAGCACATCACTACAACTGCCGCTACAAGCACAAGAATCGGCACAGCGGTCGATAAGGTCGCAATGACTACAACGTGCTCAGTTGATAGACCTGTATCTTCGTCGGTCTGTTCCAAGACATGCCTGGAAATGTTTCCGGGAGTGGCAAGATAAGCACCGGCACTCGAGGTATCTTGGTGCGGTACCAGGGCATTCCCGTCATCACTACACGTCTTGCCGTGGTATCCTTGTGGACAAACACACTGGAAACTGTTCACTCTATTCGAGCACGTACCTCCATTCTTACAAGGAGACGACATGCATTCATCAACATCGACACTGCAGTCCTTTCCCGTGAACCCTGGTCGACAAGTACATGCATAGTCATTAACAAGATCTATACATTCACCTCCATTTGCGCATGGTTTTGTCTTACAGTAATCTACTTTGCTCTGGCACAGAGATCCAACGTAACCAGGCACACATTGGCAACGGAACTGGTTCACCATGTCCACGCAAGTCCCTCCATGTAGACAAGGATTTCCCTTGCAGTCATCAACATTAATTTCGCAGCGATCCCCGGTAAACCCGGTGGGACAAATGCATTCGAAGCTGTTTATGTGGTCCACGCAGCTGGCGTTGTTTTTGCAAGGCGACGGTGCACATTCATCTATCTGATGCTCACAATCGGTGCCACTGAATCCTGGGGGGCACTTGCAGGTGTAGCCCTGGGAAGTATCACTGCAGATCCCTCCATGCCTGCAGGGCTGATCCTCGCAAGTCTGGGCAGACGTCTCACAGTGAGGACCATGCCAACCTTTAGGACACTCACAACGGTAGCTGCTAGTTCCACTGTCCTGGAGACGCAAGAAAACAGCTGTTGTTAACAACACAGAAACGGTTCAGAGTATGGTCAACATGTAAGGTATAAGGTAAAATTGTCCCTGTGCTCAACAAATTAAGCACTACGCCATGATAGCGTATGGGGGAGTGGATGTATAGATCCACATTTTCTTGACCTTGGCACTAGACGGAGGTGAGTGGTCAGCTTCACGCCCCTGTATCCATTAGATAGGAGGTTGGATGAACCCCAGAGCCGGTCTGGATGATTTTGAGAAGAGAAAAATTCTTGATCCTACCGGGACTCGAGCTCCGACCCCTCAGTCGTCCAGCCCGTAGCCAGTCGCTATACCGACTACGCTACCACATGTACACTGTGTTAAATATTAACAACCCTGAAATATATTTCATATACGTAGTAGAAACATAAACTAAGGAGGCCTGCATTTTTGTCGCGTGCCCATATTTTTAAGGAGCAGTTCTGGAGAAAATCAATAAAGTTAATTTCGAATTTCACAGTTTGGGCTTTCGTGGATAGATAAAAATAAAAATTCTCTCTGTGCTTAATGAAGCATCACGTAACGAAGAAACGTGAGGGAATGGAGGTATGGTTCCATGTATTCTTAGACCTCAGCACCGGCCGGAGGTAAGCTCCCAACCTCATGATCCAGCCGCTTTACTCTCTCATAAAGAGCTCACATGGCATCCTGTGCCAGTCTTGATACTGAAGAGAGAAATCTCTTTCCCCTGCCAAGAATCGATCCCCATTTCCTCAGCTGTCCAGCCTGTATCCTAGAAGCTATCCAGATCCTTCTTGGAGGCAGACTGATATGTTGAAACATGCACAGACACAACACAAGAGGCTATCTTCCTGTCTGCAAAATCTCAGTTGCCACATGCCCTGATACACCTCCATACACTCTTGTGACATTACCTTGCACGTCCCTCCGTTGAGACAAGGATGATGGGCACAGTCATCAAGTTCCCTCTCGCAGTCGGTTCCTGCAAACCCCGGGGGGCAGCTGCATGTATAAGAACCCTGTCCAGTGTTGAAGCATGTCCCGCCATGTCTGCATGGCTTATGGTTCGTGCAGTAATTGAGATCTTGGTTGCAGAACAAGCCACCCCAGCCCTCATTGCAGAGGCAGTCCCAGGGCTTCTGGCAGGTCCCGTGGAGACATCCTGGATACCTCTCGCACTCGTCACAAAGGCGCCCTTTCCATCCACTGTGGCACCTGCAAACAAAACAGTGTTATAAGGGGCCCACTGGGTCTGAATACTGAAAGGCAACGTGCATAGCTGACGTGGAAGCCTCGAGGTCCTGGACTGTGACACCGTGTAGTCTCTTTGACGAATACAGACGTTTCGAAGGTATATTCTGCCTCCATCTTCAGGGTCACAAGCCTAATCAAAACGTGCAACGCCCGGTAACTTTTATTGGACTAAAAGCCGTTACATCCCAGAATATAGAACTCTTCCATAGTCAACCCTCTGAGAACCAAAAATCCAACATAAAGGAACAGGTTCTGAAATAATAATACATGTAAGTTAGTGGAGCACTTGGCAACCCTGCAACGGGTGCTGGGAATTCCTCCGCCATTAACAAGTTCTCTTCACACGCTGATGCCAAATACATCTTCACCCATAAAACTGTAAGCACACACACACCTCTGTCTCATCCCGCGCAATCATTGGGCAGGTCGAAACTTCCGGTGTCCGCTGATGCCACATTTCGAGGCGGGTCACAAGGTTTCCCGTATCTCAAGGGTGAACATCTGCGGGGGTCAAAATAGACCCATACTGGAAGGGTGAAATACTCGAAGGGGTCGAAATGACCCTGATATTTAAACAGCGAAACATTCTCAGGGGTCGAAGTGACCCCCATATCCCAAGTGTGAAAACTCAGGTAAAGGTAAAGCTGTCCTGTCCTTAACTAATTAAACACTACATCATGAAGGCGTATGGGGGAGTGGATGTATAGATCCACATTTTCTTGACCCTGTCATTAGTTGGAGGTGAGTAGTCAGCTTCACGCCCCTGCCGCTTTACCCCGGGGGGGAAAAGCCGCCGGTACCCACTCGATAGGTGGTTAGGTGGGCCCCAGAGCCGGTCTGGACGACGTGAAGAAGAGACTCGAACTCCGACCCCTCGGTAGTCCAGCCCGTAGCGAGACGCTATACCGTGTAGGCAGTGTAGTCTATCCCGGCTCAGATGGGGTAAAAAAAGGCGCCCAAGTCCTAGGGGGTTGAATATTCGCGGGGGTACAAACTTCCCCCATACCTGAAGGACGAAATATTCTAGACGGGTTCAAACCGTCTCCGCATCCTAAGAGCGAAAACTTCGAGGGAGCAGAAAAAGTGCCACAGATACCACGGGTTAAATATTCGCGGGGGTACAAATGGTCTCCATATCCAGTGGTGAAATATTTGTGGGGGTATAACTGGACCACCCCATACCCCAGGGGCGAAACATCTCTTCTGTGTTCGCTACATGCCCCTCCGACCTTATCCTCGTCTACTTCAACACCCCAATAGTATGCACACTGCATACCCCTAACTACGAGTTTTATTGCCTGTACTTTGTTACTACGGCCTCCTCATACACGACAGTCCATAAAGACAAGGGACGAAGACCACAAGAAATGCACCTGACGCACAGTGGGAACCACGTTTGGACCAAAGCAATACGTCAATGTGTTGACGCCTTCAGCAGGCTTAGACAGTAATGCATTGTGTATAGAAACACGTGTAAAGTACCGTGCAGTGCTTTGTAATGTACATGGCAAGGCTGATGGCCCGTTCCCACGGAGAACGGGTACACTGCGTTCAAACTAGCTTGCCTGCAACTCTAGTGAGGAGTCCTCAAGAAGCTGACACTCACTCAACCGGACGAATAAATTCCCGTTTTTTATGGAAACCAAACGCGGGTTAAAGTACTTCCACAGTAACTTTGCGAGTCGTAGGTGACGAAAAGTGAACCCGGTGCCTGAAGGTATAACTGGGCCATCCTGTCACTGGGGGACATTACAGGTACATGGCCCTCCAGGTTCGGGGTTGGATGCAAGGCTGACGGCCTTGCTCTGTGCAAAAGTTGTTGCGAAATCCAAAAAGTGAAAACCAGATGCAATCTGGCAGAATATTCTAAGGAAGGCTACGGCTCAAAAAGGGGTTGTTTTGCCAATGTGATGATGAAGGCTCATCATATGTTCACAAGGACCAGCCACTGGTCCCTATGACACCCTCCTACTATATTTTCTCTGATCTAATCACATCCTTCTTACCTTCGGGATATTGCATGAATTGCATACTGCTGCCGATATCCTCATCATCAGTTGCACTGCATTCACAAAAATGTCTTCATAACTTCATGGCGTAAGCAATAAAACATTATACCGGTTAAAGCTTCATTCTACCGTGAAGACGCAAGTAGCAGTCTCCTCCGAAACATTAGCAGTCTCCCCACCTACCAAAGTATACAGCGTCAAATCTCAGAGGATAGTACCTTAGTACTATCGGAAGAACCTCAGTTTCATATAAGGACAATAGTGTAACATTCAGAACTGTCAACCCCTACTTTTACACTCAAGAGTCAAAGTCCGACATACTTTACGGCTTGTTGTTTACCGCCACTCAGTTCGTCTTGGGGACAAGCCCCCTGAGACTCACGACCAGTAATTTTATTTTCCAACTAAACACTTGGGGTTATAGTCCTTATGTAACATCCTCTCTGAAGAGATTTAGTTTACAATTGCTGCTGTCCCCCGCCAGCGCAGTCATTCTCAGGTCCGAGTCCCGCAGCACTCATGGTCACATTTTAGTGTCTCAGATTCGAGACTCTCCCAACCTAGAGGGTCGGGTCTTCGTATTTGCATCCTCCAAGAACAGGGTGGCCCAGTTAACCCCCCCCCCCCAGGTACTGGGGTTCCTTTTCGTCGCCTCTTACGACTCGCAGGGCTATAGTGGAAGTATTCGACCCCACCTCCACACAAGCTGCTTTCACACTAACTTCTTTCAAACATTAAAAAAAAATCAGTTCGTACCTCACAGTAAACACATTGAGTTTCTCTAACTTATTAATTCTGGCTGTGGAAATAATCGCTTTATTCGCTTCCGAGAATCATATGAAACATATGAACACATCCTGTAAGCAAAATGCAGAGTTCTCTCAGTGCTAAAGTAGGTGTTGCTCTGAAGGGTTAAATAAGAAATATTTTTAAAATAAGAAAACGTATATGAAAGGAAGCAGCATGGCTCAGATCGAAGCTGTTTCATGACCGTTTCCTCGGAAACTATTTTCATGTCACTTCACAAGCTTTCGTTTCGCATTCCTCAATGACATAACACAAGTCACTTCTTTGAACTCGTCCTTTTTCCTTTTTGCAAATCTTAGATAAATTCCTCTCTTTGCTGATACTAAATATACATACGTTTGACAAGAAAGGCATATCTCCCATCTTGTGTTTGGAATGGAATTGTTTTCAGTATTACCAGTTCTCCCCCCTTTTCTTTGTGGAATTCCAGTGCGGCGGATCTTCTCCTACGTCACGAAAGCTGTAGACTCAAGAAAGCGTGAATAGGAGAGTCACTCTTGCCATTATGCACAGCGAACGAGAGAAAAAAAAATTGCAGTGATGGTATGTACGCAAGCGCAGAGCCGCCTGCGCATTGCCCATTATCAGATCTCACGGACTGGTTAAACCAGCAATGCCTCTTCACTTGGTCAAAATTTCGCCCAGACTTTCATACTTCAGTACAAGCATTGTATTACTAAGTACTGTTTAACCCTTCACAGACTGAATTACTTCTATATAACACTTAAACAATTCGGTTCGTACTTCACAGGAAACACGTTCCCTCTCCGCTACAAAGACCAGCCGGTTAATGCTGTTTTTAAGAAAACTGTCTCTGCTTTTTGTGGGAATCATACGGAATATACAGATACGCTCAGCGAGAAGAATGCAAGAGTTATGGCATGTTAAAGCATGTGGTACATATAGTGACCACTGGACTTTAAAAGGTTAATCCGAGGTTTCTCAAACCGCGTGTCTTAACCTACTCGAAGAATCAAAACACAGTTTCGGCAAATCAGCGATAATTAATACAGGTGCTTTCAGAACAGGTATCTGTAACCTGAAAGATATTTCGTATTAATTATACAGGTACATTTTATAGCTTACTGTAGGTGTAGGGAGGCTGTAAAGCTATTGAGGGTCCTGCTGTCACCGTACAGACTGATAGGGACCTGCAGAAATGTGCAGAACTACTGTTTTCAGTGAACGAGATGACGGAGAGGTAGATTTATGTATTAATTTAGTCCGTCAAGGTTTACAAAACCTTTGTTTAACCCTTCACAACAAAAACCACTATCCTACAGCTCCTAAAACTTCAGACTACCATCCTACAAGAAAGAGAAAGCGATGCTATAGCCAGATTTACTGTGAACCATGAAAACTTCGACATGATTTTTTTGCACTCGGTAGAATGAAGCTCAGCGTGTTCCTAAATAGTAGTAGAATGGTCAAGGTCTACCTGCTCTACTCATCATCACTTGCCTCTCCTTCTGTTGGCTGGAGGACAGCATTTTAACGGTAAACAAGAGATCTGCGTTTTTCTCACAGTATATTTTTGGGTTACTGTGATTCCCAGAATAGACAGACATTATTTACCTAAACAGCATCAACTAGCTGACTGCATTATAGATGTAGGGTGTTCCTTGTGAGGTAGGAGCTAAGCATTTAGTCCTCGGTGCCCAAATAAAACATACTTCAACAAATATACACCACTGTGAACTGCAGTACGCAAAATTTGATACAATGTCATAAATCATTTAAGATAATTTGCAATAAGAATACAATAAGTAGGTTATTTAAAACCAATAAAAGTCATATAAATAATAAATAAGCAAGTTGTATATATTGTAACACAGCAGGATACATGAAATCAAAATCACAACCAAATTACTCTATTCGCCATGGGAAGCTATTGATGATGGGCCCAATACGTGTACAGATACCTCAGGGCAGCTGTACTAACAACTGCAGTTAGATTACAGACAACTCCTGTTGTTTCTTGTCCACTAGACACGAGGCTGAGTATAAGAAAACCTGTAGAACTATCCCTGTAACATGTCGTGGAGGCCCATAAAGTTGAGAGATGTCAAGGCTCTCACATTTTCTAAACAATCGACTGAGAGATGGCGGTAGGTCTGTCAGTCTTACGCGCCGGCAGCCCTTTAC